TTTTGTAGGTTTCTTTTCTTTCAGACTATTATGATAGTTGGAATAATTTTCACGTAATGCGGTTTATAATGTTTTTTTTTTTTACAATTCGTTTCGACAAATATATATTCCGTATAAATGTTCGACCGAACGTTTCACAAACGCTTTTTAAATGGAAAGATGTAGACGCAAGTGCTACGGAAACGATACGGAAGTGCTACGGAAACGCTACGCAAATGCTACGGAAATGCTACGGTAATGGTACGGAAGTACTACGGAAATGCTACGGAAGTGATACGCAAGTGCTACGCAAACGGTACGGAAATGCTACGCAAATGGTACGCTGAAAGTGGAACAGCGAACGTGTACGGGTCTGTATGTCAACATCATACTTTCAAGTTTTCCAGACATGATTATGATATTACTTGCCCTCTTTAGTACAAAGGTGTCTGCATACATAGGTCGTACTTGTGAGAACCTTGTTTTAAACAAAAATGTTAGTTATTATAAGGCTGTAAAATATTTACTGTACCACTGAAGATAGATCGCTAATGGTTTACCTGTAAAAGGATAAATCGCTAACGGTCTGCATGTCCAAAGATAAATCGCTAACGGTCTACATGTACAAAGATAAATCGCTAACGGTTTTCATGTAAAAAGATAAATCGCTAACGGTTTTCATGTACAAAAATAAATCGCTAACGGTTTACCTGTAAAAAGATAAATCGCTAACGGTCTATATGTACAAAGATAAATCGCTAACGGTCTACATGTACAAAGATAAATCACTAACGGTTTTCATGTACAAAGATAAATCGCTAACGGTTTACCTGTACCGTGGTATTGGCATTAAATGCTAAAAGGTTACTTACTCATTCCGGAGTCAATATCAAACGTACCCTAATACGAAATTTCATGTATATCAAAAAAGAAAGAATACAAATTGATTTCAAAATGTTTCACTTTAGCTATAAGTACGACATGTGGTCGATACGGATCTTAACTAGGACACATACATAAACCATAATGATATAGATATTTGACAGTCTAGGAAGAAGGTTATAGCTGTTGATGTCTAGGATACTGAAAACCAAGACATTTCGACCGAGGGTTGGACCGGGGTGTCAAATATAGTACCTTTTAATTATTGTCACCTGTTCTCTTTATGTCATGTGCTCGTGTGCCATCCATGTGGAGCGAAGTGTATTCGAACGATCTATCGTAAGCAGGAGAACTCAGAACTTGTTTAAGCTGTGTCTGTTTATTTGGCAAATAGTGTAGGTTTTTAACGAGGAGATGATAACCAGTCCAGCCGGAGCCGCCACAGATCACGATCAGCAGTGGCTGATTATATTTGGCACATTACGTATAGAGGCCAGGACAAGGTGTGAAGCGACCCTGCGCCCATACAATGTAGGTCTTCACTCAGCACTTCAATGGTCTTTTTGTAAAGCTCGTCTTACTGGCTCGGTGGCCTTCCTATCGGTCAGTGTCGCACATAATTACTCTGCTTCAAATTCCTTTTACCGTTAATGCCAATTACCATAACGATGCAATTGCTATATCTCTCTCTCGATAATACAGACTAGATGCCGGCAGTAGATCGGGTACCAGCTGTGTGAGCGTATGTAAGTATTACCCTTTATGTCGGTTATAATGAAAAAACGACAGTGGACAAAGTGAAAATAGTTATCTTTTTTATTTAGAATTACGGGATCTTGGCGGTTTCATATAGATTACAAGTCAGCTATGGTCGGGGAATGCGTTTTATTGGAAAGTTTATTAAGATTGTACAATAGTCATCTAAATATGTATCATACAAATATTCCGACACAAATGAAACTGTGAATAAAAGAAGACAGGCCTATACGGAATTACAGTAATGAGTGATATGCGCCGTGGCCGTTTTGTCGTCCAAACCAATCTGTTATATTGTGTTATGCCATCATACAGCAGACAATGCTGGCGGATAGACCGGAACAGGCTGTTACAAGATGGGAATATATCCAGCACCTTTGACCGATCTCAAACCAGGGGCTATATTTAAAGGAACCAAATGACCGACGAATGTGCTGCCTCAGACGATGTACATGTAAAAATGGCGGAGATTCTTTGTTGGCCCACCAGCATCTATTTGATGGCGAGAGTAGTAGTTCGACATAATGAATTTCCCCGCTAGACAAGAAGACAGCATATTGAAGATTGATGTTGACTTTGGATCCTGTGAGTGTTTACTGGAGAAAGGTCAAGTTGCCACTGATGGGTCTAACGATGACTTACCAGACTACCAAATTTGTATAGACTAACTGTGTCACAGCTTACAGCAGACACACTTACACTGTAAACGCATCTCCATCACCGTCACTTTAAAACACGGGAATCCAATTGTTTCCATAAATGACGCTACCTTTACTGACACCTGTGTACAGCTGCACGCTCTTTTAGGTTTCTGTGTCAAATGGTAACATCTACAAAAGTGTTATAAAATACAAAGACATTTAAGATAATAGAACGTTTTGCTTTTTTTTATGGTTCCAACTTTACACATAATGTCTTATATAAATCTGAATTTCTATCATGCCACACTATCGATATTGTTTAACTATCATAGATGTTATTAACCAGTATATTATTATAAAGCTAATTGAAAGCATCTTAATCTACAGAAAATGCGGGAAAAGCAATTATGGTCTGGAGTGTGGCGTCAGTAGATTCCCTGTACAGTCGTGTCGGCGCTCAGTCTATATCTTGGTTGTAACATTACCACCCGTATCTGTTAGGAGACATGAAAAACACCTGTTTATAACATTTACGTTTTCTCATCAGCCGGTCCATACATATAACGTCGAACCTGCTCATTCAACTCCATTTCTGATAATGTCAATTTGGACAATGATGGGAACATTTGATATCAAAACAAACTTGTAACAATTTAGCAGGAGAAACGTTATACATAAACGATGTACTTCGTTGTCGAATAATCTTTATGAAAATATATTTGTTTTGTGCAGAGTTAACGATTCCCTACCAATTGTATTGTATTCTCTAAGACGGCCGCATAGGATTTTCTGAATTTGCAAATTCAAAGACAGGCAGTGTTTTGAGTAAAGTGGTGTTACGCAATTAAAGTAAACACAGACATTGCGAAGCCACGTGTAGACCTTTCTCATACAATTTGGCCAATTTCTTGATTCAGATTCATTGTAGCCCTATTTCAGGGATTTAGAATTAGAAACATATAAAATACACAACAGAATTCACTTTATATATAGAGACGTTGTGTTTGAAAGTTTCGTAGATAGCTTCTGCGTGAACGAGCTACCTTGTTGTTCCTTTGCATCTAGGTTCGTAAGGACGAGTTATTCTGTTTGTCCAATTTACTAAGGACAAAATCTTCTGGACGCTAGGAATCGAGCACGGTAACGACAGCTGTATACATGTATATTCAGTATCGTGTACAGTAAGGACACACTTGATTGTATTGCAGTAGCCTATTGTACATGTATATCCTATACATCTGACCGTAAGACAAGTTCTGTAAGCACAGGTAAATGTCTGTTGACGTGTCTCTTGCGATTTGGACAGGTTAACGTTCTATTTGCCGGCCGTGCTCACCACCCGTATACGGTTTTGTTGAAGCCATTGCAAGCTGTTGTCGGCATCAGAGCGTATATTTCCGGAATTCGTAACAATTAAAACTCTTGCATGCAATCAGTTTGTCATTCAAACTAATATTCGCGTTACGAAATAGGTCTTTTGGGGGTGATTGTTTCACGAAATAAGCCGGTCATAGGGGTTTTATACCAAACCTAGGCACAGTCCATTATTATCAGTATCGATTTGTAATTTTGTGTGAATGTGTAGAATAAATGAGAACACAGTTCACGCCTTATCAGATGACACGTATAATACTGAAGACAGTTAACTCCAGGAATGGTATAGCCCTGGCTCGTGAGCTCGTCCAAACTACCCTTGGAATGTCTCACAATAGTCTCACTAAACTGATAATATCTTGTAGTTTTGATGATTCTGAACGACCCTGTGTGGAATCAATCAGGTTTCACATATACTTGTAGGAAATTTATAAAACAAAATCAACATTACATAAAATTGATGTCAATAAAACTGCCACAGGAAGCCAGCAGTTTCATCTACTGGTTAAAAACTACAACGACTGTAAACGAAAATATAAGCAAGGTCGCAATTGTAAACGGGAAAATAGAATGTAGTGATTAGTAGTGGATGTTTATAGGACATATTACATTTTGTACAAACATTGACACTGTACATGTAATTGGGATTGCTTTCTAACACGGGTTTTCTATTTCCATATCGAAAACCTCAGTTATACTTAATAAGGTAAATGTAGCAATATTTCAGTACAGATATCCTTCAAAAATATTGCATAACCACATTTGATATGGTAAAATTACATTGATATATTACTATCACTGATGTAATATAACCACATACTATAACCACATATATATTTCAATCGCATTGTTATAATCACTAATGTTTTCTAGTGACATACATATATTATAGGCCGTTTATTATAATTATATGTATATTGATATATACCACGAGGCTGTTGTGGAGAATTGGATAGAATAGAGAGTATTTTGCCTTTAAGTCTTCTATCTACTAAACAACCTAATTAAGACAGGTTACGTAGAACAACATCAGACGGTAGAGGAACCATGTCCCCCATGATAAACTTTGAAAAACGTTACGAGTTCCGAAAACACATTTCTTACATGGTGCATACAAAATGTATTATGGAGGATTACACGTGCCCAACCTTCCATTACCACATATGTTGAACCTTCCATTACCACATGTGTTCAACCTTCCATAATCACATGTGTCCAACCTTCCATTACCACATGTGTTGAACCTTTCATTACCTTATGTGTTCACCTTCCATATTCACATGTGTCCAACCTTCCATTACCAGATGTGTTCAACCTTCCATTACCACATGTGTTCAACCTTCCATAATCACATGTGTCCAACCTTCCATGATCACACGTGCCCAACCTTTAATGATCGCACGTACCCAACTTTCCATGATCGAATGTGCCGAACCTTCCATGATCGCACGTACCCAACCTTCCATGATCGCACGTGCCGAACCTTCCATGATCGCAAGTACCCAACCTTCCATGATCGCACGTGCCGAACCTTCCATGATCGCATGTACCCAACCTTCCATAATCACACGTGTTCAACCTTCCATCACCACACGTGCCCAACCGTCCGTAATCACACGTGCCAAATCTTCCATGACAACACGTATTCAACCTTCCATTACCACATGTGCCAAACCTTCCATGATCACAAGCGCCCAACCTTCCATAAGCACACGTGCCCAACCTTCCATGACCACACGTGCCAAACCTTCCATGACCACACGTGCCAAACCTCCCATGACCACACGTGTCCAACCTTCCATGATCACACGTGCCCAACCTCCCATGATCACACGTTCCCAACCTCCCATAATCACAAGTGCCAAACCTCCCATGACCACACGTGCCCAACCTTCCATGATCACATGTGCCCAACCTTCATTGACAACACGTATCCAACCTTCCATGATCACACGTAACTAACTTTCCTTTACCACACATGCCCAACCTTCCATTACCACACGTGTCCAACCTCTAATGATCACTTGTCCAACTTTCCATGATCACACGGGCCCAAACATCAATGATCACGTGTCCAACCCTCCATGACCACACGTGCCCAACCGTTGGTTTACTGCAAAGCGGTACTTGTAATGGGTAATTGGAACAAAAAATAAATAAGATAAAAATATACAATGTTTTAACTGGCCCTGGTCGCCCGATCGAAAAAGAAAATAAGATTATTTTTTAATTGGCCCTGGTCCCCCCTTCCCCTCGCGTGTAGATGTACTTGGTACCAGCGTGAGAACAGTTTACTGAATTGTTGTTGTTTTCCCACCAGATCTCGCACCGGTGTTGACGCAACTGTCACACTCGTCTATACGTATGACGGCAAGAAGCAATTCTCTCGGGACTCCTCGGATCTTTATTCTTTAATGATCGTCTGGGACCAAACAGGTTTTGTAAGCAGCTTCTGCATTGGCAGTTAACGTGACGTTAGCCAGAAACTCTGATCGGAGACAGCGATATAAAGAGTCCGAAGGGAAGGTGTTTCTATATATATATATAGAGGTAATCGGATTTTATCGCAATATGCACGAGCTTGGTATTTGCGGTTGTTGAGTTACATGAGGTAGTTTGGCTTACGACGGTTTTAGTAGAAAACTTCCAGAAAAAATTGCTATGGAGACAAGAGATGAGGCTGAAATTGCCGTGGAGGTAAAGCAGTTTCAAAAGCGGTGTGGAACTAGAAGAGTTCCTATTGATTTTTATCAATATCGTATACAACAATTGGGGGCATTCCTCCCTAAATACCGTACAGAAAGATACGTTGCTGTTGGTCGTCTGGGTGAATCCGGCTCCATCGCGCATGTCTATGAACTGGCGTCATGAAGTCTGCCATATGACTTCCTCTACCATATCACTCCAATAAAAGGGACAGATATAGAAACGTATTTGACTTCATACTGTGCTGTATCATATATATTACATATATTCAACAGTTCTATGTATCCAAGAAGCATATAGCAATCACAAGAAAATGATCTGTACATAGACGGTGGCTTACAATGTGTACATTGTAATAAGCTGAGTTCCAATCGTGTAATTTATTTAAGTTTCAACAGCAAAATCAATGGTTTCGTCAGCAGAAAGTTTTACAGATGTTAATGAGATATCTATTTCTATATAGTCTCCTTGTCTACGAGTAGCTCTGGTCATTAGCTAGTCGTTAGGACTACGTTCCACTTATCCTTGCCATCAAATGTGACTTGAACATTTTATTCAGAGGACGACCTTCGACTGTGATCTAAAGGATGAGCTGTGTGATTCATCAATACTGATAGACAGTACAAATTACCTTAATGGTCAGCCCAAACTTACAATCTTAATAACATGTAGTGTATAATATGTATCAACTTGCATTTTGATTGGATAAATTAGACATTTAAGTTTTAAATTTTTTATTTTCGACTTAACAAATTACATTTTAAATGTTGGTAAAATATTCGGGATCCCGATCTTTAATAAGAGTAATATTTTTGGAAAAAATATATAATTTACACAGTTTCTCCCCTCCTCTCTAGCTCCTCAACTACACTGGGTGGTCTGTTGATGCAGTGGATAACGCACTCGCCTTTCATCAAGAGGACCGGGGTTCGATTCCCCGATAGGATGTGAAAGGTATTTGGTGACCTTGACGACCACGTGGGATTTCTCCGGATCCCGCATTAAACACCCGCGCGCTTCCATCGGGGTTAACAAGAGTGACTAAAATAAGTTAGAAAACTTGATTCACGATTGTTTTAAATATTAAGCAACGTTTATTTATAACTACACCAAACACACAATATACTGTCATACATACCGCCATAGATTACCACAACCGTGTAGGTCCCGTCCTCACAACACGCACGCATTCACAGCCACACCTTAACCTAACCTCATGAACGCTCATACACGAAGGCGAGCACACATATGTACATGCAACATAACAATGTCGTTGCCACACCTATACCCGAACAAAACAAACAATCAAACCCATGGCCACACCTATACCCCAGCAAAAAAAACAATCAATCCCACGGCCACACCTATACCCCAACAAAACAAACAATCAAACCCATGGCCACACCTTATACCCAAACAAAACAAACAATCAAACCATGGCCACGCCTATAACTATAGCCCAACAAAACAAACAATCAAACCCACGGCCACATCTATACCCAAACAAAACAAACAATCAAACCATGGCCACACCTATAACTATAGCCCAACAAAACAAACAATCAAACCCACGGCCACATCTATACCCCAACAAAACAAACAATCAAACCCACGGCCACACCTATACCCAAACAAAACAAACAATCAAACCCACGGCCACATCTATCCCCAAACAAAACAAACAATCAAACCATGGCCCCACCTATAACTATAGCCCAACAAAGAAAACAATCAAACCCACGGCCACATCTATACCCAAACAAACCAAACAATCAATCCCACGGCCACATCTATACCCAAACAAAACAAACAATCAAACCCACGGCCACATCTATCCCCAAACAAAACAAACAATCAAACCATGGCCACACCTATAACTATAGCCCAACAAAGAAAACAATCAAACCCACGGCCACATCTATACCCAAACAAAACAAACAATCAAACCCACAGCCACATCTATACCCAAACAAAACAAACAATCAAACCATGGCCACACCTATAACTATAGCCCAACAAAGAAAACAATCAAACCCACGGCCACATCTAAACCCAAACAAAACAAACAATCAAACCATGGCCCCACCTATAACTATAGCCCAACAAAGAAAACAATCAAACCCACGGCCACACCACACCAAACACCACACACACAATCAAATGCTTGGCCGCACCTTAAATACCACACCCCACACACAATCAAAGCCATGCCCACACCTTAAACACCACACTCCACACACAATCAAATGCTTGGCCACACCTTAAATACTACCCCCCACAAACAATCAAACTAATCGCCACACCTTAAACACCACGCCCCACACCCAATCAAACTCATCGCCACACATTAAATACCACACATAATCAAATTCATGGCAATACATTAAACACCATACACCACACACAATCAAACTCGTCGCCATACATTAAACATCACACCACACACACAATCAAACTTACCGTCACACCTTAAACACCACACAACACACACAATCAAATTCATAGCCATACATTAAACATCGCATCAAACACACAATCAAACCCATGGCCACACCTCTTCCCCAACAAAACAAACAATTAAACCCATGGCCACACCTATACCCTAACAAAACAAACAATCAAACCCAAGGCCACACCTATACCCCAACAAAACAAACAACCAAACCCACAGCCACAGCTATACCCAAACAAAACAAACAATCAAACCATGGACACACCTATAACTATAGCCCAACAAAGAAAACAATCAAACCCACGGCCACATCTCTACCCAAACAAAACAAACAATCAAACCAACGGCCACACCTCTACCCCAACAAAACAAACAATTAAACCCATGGCCACACCTATACCCTAACAAAACTAACAATCAAACCCATGGTCACACCTCTACCCCAACAAAACAAACAATCACACCCATGGCCACACCTATTCCCCAACAAAACAAACAATCAAACACACGGCCACATCTATACCCCAACAAAACAAATAATCAAACCCATGGCCACACCTAGACCCCAACAAAACAAACAATCAAACCAAACGCCACACCTCAAACTCCAAACACCACACACACAATCAAACGCTTGGCCACACCTTAAATACCACGCCCCCCACACAATCAAACTCATCGCCACACCTTAAACACCACACCACACACACAATCAAACTCATCGTCACACATTAAATACCATACATGATCAAATTAATGGCCATACATTAAACTCTATACCTCACACACAATCAAACTCGTCGCCATACATTAAACATCACACCACACACACAATCAAACTCATCGTCACACCTTAAATACCATACATGCTCAAATTAATGGCCATACATTAAACTCTATACCTCACACACAATCAAACTCGTCGCCATACATTAAACATCACACCACACACACAATCAAACTCATCGCCACCCCTTAAACACCACACCCAATACACAATCAACCCCACGGCCACACCTATACCCCAACAACACAAACAATCAAACCCACGGCCACATCTCTACCCAAACAAAACAAACAATCAAACCAAGGCCACACCTATGACTACAGCCCAACAAAGCAAACAATCAAACCCACGGCCACACCTATACCCTAACAAAACTAACAATCAAACCCATGGTCACACCTCTACCCCAACAAAACAAACAATTAAACCCATGGCCACACCTATACCCTAACAAAACTAACAATCAAACCCATGGTCACACCTCTACCCCAGCAAAACAAACAATCAAACCCACGGCCACACCTCTACCCCAAAAAAACAAACAATCAAACCAAACGCCACACCTCAAACTCCAAACACCACACACACAATCAAACGCTTGGCCACACCTTAAATACCACGCCCCCCACACAATCAAACTCATCGCCACCCCTTAAACACCACACCCAATACACAATCAACCCCACGGCCACACCTCTACCCCAACAAAACCAACAATCAAACCAAACGCCACACCTCAAACTCCAAACACCACACACACAATCAAATGCTTGGCCACACCTTAAATACCACGCCCCCCACACAATCAAACTCATCGCCACATCTTAAACACCACACCAACACAGTATAAAATCAATCGCCACACCTTAAACACCACGCCCCACACCCAATCAAACTCATCGCCACACATTAAATACCACACACACACCTATACCCAAACAAAACAAACAATCAAACCAAGGCCACACCTATGACTACAGCCCAACAAAGCAAACAATCAAACCCACGGCCACATCT